ATCTGACCCTTGTTTAGCATGTGACTAAAAAAATAACCATAAAAATAGTGAACCAGCAGCCTTCAGGGCTGCTATCCCTAAGGAGTAACCACCCTTTTATTCCTTTACTTTCTTAATAAACTTTCTTTTACTTTATCAGCTCGTTCTTGAATTCCTTCCTGTGTGAAGCCAAAAACCCAGGTGGCCTCCCAAGCTAAACTCCAATATTGGGGATCACCCTATAATCCATCCTGGGGTACAATTCCTCTACAATCATGGACTAAAGAAAAAAGTTATCTGCTCCTAAAACATAATGGTGGCATAGGCATAGGATAGCAGATAAAGATATTCTCACTTAAAAAGGGAGAGAATTATAAAATGAATTACTATTTCCAAGCAATTTCAAAATCCAACCTGACAAACTCCATAGGCTTCAAGACCTTTGACTAATTACCTGTGGTCCTTGGCTCTGTCCTGAGCTCACAGCTCCATTCTCTGAGTTTGATGGTCTTCCCTCTGTGAGGTGTTTTTTTGTTTTATAATCACGAAAGGTAGCACATGCTTGCAGCTGTGCAGTTTGCAGCTGATCCCTATTTCCTGTCTGGAGAAGCATGAAGGTCCATCAGCCTTCTTTTAGTCTGCTCTCTTTGACTTTTTTTTGGTTCATGATCGCTGTATTTCTACTGACATTATATTCTCGGGAACTTTGTATGTGTCACCAGGATTCACTTCATTAAACACAGGCTCCTCCACAGATCATTCCTAAGTAATCCCATATCTATTTTTGGCATCTGCTGAGATAACTAAGGGGAATCTATAAATCATACCCTAAATTTCTCAGAGATTGAATATTCTGACATCCTGATCTTTCTCTGATAGTAGCAAAAGGTTGTGCGGCTACATTCCTGAATTTTTCTCTAGAGCATTATTTTTTAACAGAGAATCTCTTCACTTTAGCATCATCCGAAATGTTGAAAAGTTGCAAATTTTACCAATTGTCATGACCTGGTCTGACTGCTCCCCTTCCCTGCATTTTAAAACAGTTCTTCCCTCAATTTATTTCTTTTCTTTCATATTTTACATTATGCAACAAGAAGTAACCAGGCTTTGTCTTCGAAACTTTGAACATCTCAGATAAGGAAGCAAGTTTGTTGCTTAAAGTGTCACTTTCCGCATAATTATAGGACAAAATTTAGCTGGTCTTTCTGTCACCATACCACAAAAATCCCCTTTTCTCTGGTTTCCAATAATACATTCCTCACTTCCTTGTGCACCATCCCCAGAAGCACCCTTAACATCCATATTTCTACCACCAATCTATTTCTGATGATGTAGGTGATGATATACGTCTAGATGACGTATATTTTCTCCACCCTACTCCTCACTTCCTTCTGAGTCATCCATAACAGAGTCATTAATGTTTATATTTATATAGGTCTGTACAAGGCCGTCTAACTTTTCCTATTACATTCCTCAAAATTCTTCCTGCCTCTTTCCCAATTCCAAAATGATTTCTACATTTTTTAGGAATTTGTTACAGTAGCACTCCACCTCCAGGTACTGACATCTAATAGTTGCCTATTGCAGCTGCAAAAATTATTTGTTTATTGCTGCTGCAATAAACAAATGGTTAGTGACTTAAAAGAGGATGAATTTATTATCTTATGGTTTTGTAGGCCAGAAGTCTGACAAGAGTCTCACATGATTAAAATTAAGATGCTGGCAGGGACGCATTCCTCTCCGGAGTCTCTAGGGGAGAATTCGTTTTCCTGCTCTCCCCAGCTTCTAGAGGCTGCCTGCTTTTATTGACTCATTGCCCGTTCTTCATCCTCAAAGCCAGCAATGGTGCTGCATCCTTATCACATCCGATCACTCTAACGCTGACCCTCCTGCTGACCTCTTTCCTTTCTGAGGACACTGGACTTCCCTGGATATTTCAGGATAATCTCTCTATTGTAAGGCAGATTGATGAGCAAACCTAATTCTGCTTTACCATGCAATATAACGTATTCTCAGGTTCCAGGAATTAAGATGTGGCCACTTGTTTTCAGAGGTAGAGTGCCTTAATTTGCCTGTTGCATAAGGTACATAAAGACGAAGGTTTTACCCACACTCCTGGGAGACATGAAGTTAAAAACATCACCTTGGGAGGAAAGCTAAATGCACCCGCCACCATACCCAGCTACTTTTTGGTATTTTTAGTAGAGACAGGGTTTTGCCACATTGGCCAGGCTGGTCCCAAACCTCTGACCTCAGGTGATCTGCCTGCCTTGGCCTCCCAGTGTGTGAGGATTACAGGCGTGAGCCACTGCACCTGGCCCACGTTAACCTTTTATAGCCACACCCACGTTCCTCCTGTCCCCAGTCTTTGACACCCAGCAACCACTACTATGTGCTCCATTTCTATAATTTTGTCATTACCAGGATGACATGTAAATGGAATCACACGGTGTGTAACATTTTGGGATTGGTTTTTCTCACTCAGCATAATTCTCTGGAGATTCATTGAGGTTGTTATGTGTATCAACAGTTCTTTTTATGGCTGAGTAATATTCCATGGTATGGCTATTTCACAGTTTTTAAATCATTCGCCTATTGGAGGACATCCGGGTTCTTTCCAATTTGGGGCTATTATACATAAAACTGCTATGAACATACATACATATGCAGGTTTTTGTGTGGAAATAAGTTTTACTTCTCTGGGATAGATGGCCAGGAGTAAAGCTTCTCGATCACATGGTAGTGCATGCTTAGGTTTTTTTTTTTGTTTTTTTGTTTTTTTTTTTGATGTGGAGTCTCACTCTGTCTCCCAGGCTGGAGTGCAGTGGCATGATCTCGGTTTACTGCAACCTCTGCCTCCTGGGTTCAAGGAATTCTCCTGCCTCAGCCTCCCACATAGCTGGGATTGCAGGTGCATGCCACCATGCCAAACCAATTTTTTGTATTTTAGTAGAGAGGGGATTTCACCGTGTTGCCCAGGCTGGTTTCAAACTCCTGAGCTCAGACAATCCGCCCACTTCGGCCTCCCAAGGTGCTGGGATGACAGGCTTGAGCCACTGTGCCTGGCCTGTGCATGGTTAGTTTTAAAAGAAAATGCCAAACTGGTTTTCAATGTGTCTAGACCGCTTTACATTCCTACCAGCAATGTGTGAAAGATCCAGTTTCTCTACATCTTTGACAGCATTTGGTGTTGCCACTACATCTCATTTTAGCCATTCTGATGGGTATGTAGTAACATCTCATTGTGGTTTTAATTTCCTTAATGGCTGATTATGCTAATTTTTTAACATGCTTATTTGTAATCTGTGTATGCTCCTCAGTAAAATGTCTGTTTATCAGTTGCCCATTTTCTGGTTGTAATGTTTGCATTTTTTAACTATGGAGTTTTGAGAGTTTTTATACATTCAAAATACTAATTTTTTGCTGAATATGTGGCTTTTAAATATTTCTTCCTACTTGTAGCTTGCCTTTCATCCTCTCTAATGAGGTCTATGGCAGAGTACAAGTTTTTAATTTTGACGAACTCCAGTTTACCAATTTTTTTTTTATGGATCATACTTTTGGTCTTAACTTGAGGAACTCCTTGCCCAGCAATAGATCTTAAAGATTTTCTGATTTTCTCCTACTTTTTTTGGAATAATTTTACAGTTTTACATTTTATAATTTAAGTCTTAGATTCATTTTAAGTTAAATTTTACATTACGTATGAAACTTAGTTCTTTTTTTTTTTTCAGACAGAGTTTCACTCTGTCGCCCAGGTTGGAGTTCAATGGTGCGATCTCCCCTCACCACAACCTCCACCTCCTGGGTTTAAGCAATTCTCCTGCCTCAGCCTCCAGAGTAGCTAGGATTACAGGCATGTGCCACCATGCCCAGCTAATTTTTTTTTTTAATTTTTATTTTTAGAGACATGGTTTCACCATGTTGGCCAGGCTCAAACTCCTGAACTCAGGTGATCCACCTGCCTCGGCCTCCCAAAGTGCTGGGATTACAGGCATGAGCCACCAGGCCTGGCCTTAGTCATTTTCACACTTGGGTGTAAAAAATCAGTTGGACATATTTACATGGTTTTATTTGTGGGTTAGGTATTCTAGCACATTGATCTATCTGTGTTGATCTCTCTGCCAAATCTATATAGCCTTGATTAGTGTGGCCATAAAGTGACTCATAATTCTCTCATGTTAGTCTTCATTTTCAAAATTGTTTTATTTTTCTTTGTATTTTTCACATACAATTTAAAATAATCATGTCTCTATAATGAATGCGGTTGGGATTTTGATAGAAATTGCATTAAGCCTATGAATCAATTTGGGGAGAAATGACATCTTTACTATGTTGAGTTTTCCAATCCATGAACACAGTATGCCTCTTTATTTATTTATGTGTTGTTTTTCTTTCTTCAGTGTTGCATAGTTTTTTGCTTAAAAGCTCTATGTTCTATACAAGTTTTGCTAGAGTTATACTTTAGTATTGAGACAGCCAAGTATAAAGGGGTCTCTGAAGAACCTTGGACTGGCCCGCGGGCTGGAAGAATGGGGTACAGCTGTGGGAAGTCGGCGCCCTTTGCAGCGGGGAGGAGCCTGGCCTCTCCTGTTCGGGGTGGTACCTGAGATTCAGTCTGAGGTGGGAAACTGGCTAGCAGGACTCTCGCTTTCCTGAGAGTCCCTGTTTCCTTTTGGCCCAATAAATCCCATTTTTCTCACCCTTCAAAGTGTCTGCAAGCCTAATCTTCCCTGGTTGTATGACAAGGACCCTAAGGAAAAAGTCCTACAACAGTATTTAGTTTAGTTTAGTTTATTTTTTTAAAGCAATTATAAATGGCGCTGTTCATTGTTAGTATAGGGAAATACAATTGATTGTTGTGTGTTTATGTGACCTTACTGACTTTACTTACTATTTCTAGTCATTTTTTGGTAGGTTCTTGGATTTTATAAATAGAAAATTATGTCATCTACAAGTAAAGAAAGTTTTATTTTTTCCTTTCTTATCTCTATGTATTTTATTTCCTTTTCTGTCCTTAGTGCACAACCTAGAACTTCCAGAACTAACAACTGTTGAAAAACAGTGTGAGAGTGGACATCCTTACCTTGTTCCTGGTCTTGGTACCTGGCCTCAGACACTGCACCCAGCCCCTTCCATCAGATGCTATTGCTGATAGCAACGGGTAAGGCTAGCACAAGTTCAGAGGATGTGGACAGAGCCTCCCCCTCTTGAAGAAAGCAGCAGCCAAGTCTCCTTGCAAAGAGGTATGGAGATGAGATTCACTGGGGGCCGTCAAGGCAACAATCTACCACCTGCTACATTCTGACCCCAATGACTCGCATCCCTGCCCAAGATTCCCAAAGTCTCATCTTGTCCTAGCACTGGGTCCCTGCGCGTTTCAACAAGCCTGAGATGTGTTGTGACAATCTCCCACTTTGTTGTCTGGGCACAGCAATAAAACCCAAGCTCCCCGAGTCTACCAAGGAAGGCCGCTAACTTTGGGAAGGGGTCTAAAAATAATTTTACAGTTATGCCCAGTGTGTCAATATAGTTAATGCTCACCTTAAATATGTAGTCATGCAGCCAGCTGAAGGCAGCGCAGTGACTCACCTTCTCCCAGTGCGGCAGGACTTTCCCTGATGAGTGATCAATGCTCTCCATTAAAGGCTTCCTGTTTCCTTCTGACCCTGAAAACAGTATGTAAGAGCTACACATTCTGTGCACAGACAAAGAACAACACTCCACGGTGAATTGCTTTTATAACCCTTGGCATTATTTTCCAGTGAATCGTATCCTGTAAACAGGAACCTCATGAGAAAACATAAATGAGCAATAATCATTTCCTATATTGGTAATCAGATAAAAGTCCTGATTCAATTTCCAATTGCTTTAACATGCATAAAACTTTCAGTGCATCTATATCAGAAAGGCAATTCCTGGATTCATTATATATGTGTATACACACATATATATACATAATGATACACACACATAATGATATGTATACATATATACATGATATACATACACACATATACATAATGATATACACACGTATCTACCTAATGATATACACATACACATATACATACTTAATTATGCACATATGCACATTATATGTTCAGGTATCATATGTACATAATGACATGTATACATCTAATACATACGCATATGTACATAACGATATGCATACATGGTTATACACATACATATATAATGAGATATACACATATACATACATAATGATACACATGCACACACATATACACACATAATGATACACACACACGTATATACAGACATCCATCATACACATATACACAGGTTTTGGGGCTCTAATACTTTTCAATTTTAGCTAGTCACCATTTTTACAGAAACATACACATGCGTATTTGGATGGCTCACTTTTAGGGCTTCAGACAAACCACTCGTCAGGCTGTCAGCTATGTCTTTCTGAGAGGACCAGTGTTTCCTAAGTGGATGTTTGGAGATTGCAGCCATTAAAAAAAATGGCAGTGAAATACATGGCAGTAAAAATAAAACGGCAGTAAAAATAAACAGAAGACACCCTGTGGTGAAATACTTTGGAATTGAATTCTATAAGCACGGTGCAGATGGTAGGACAGCTTCGTTTCAAAGGAGATGATCAACCTCCACGGAGTCTGTTACCATCGCTCAGGCGAGGGTGTTTAATTACTTCATCACTGACACAAAATCTTTTGCAGATTAGGGAGTCTCACCTAGTGCAATGGGCTCTCACCTGGGGTGACAGGACTTGTCCCTGGTGGTCAAACGCTCGCCTGGGGTGACAGGGCTCTCACCTGGTGGTCTCACCTGGTGTGACAAGGCCGTCCCTGGTGGTTAAGGCCTCACTTTGTGGTCAGTTTTTTTTTTCCAGTGTTCCAGTTAATGTTGATCAGTGTGAAAAAATTATTAAAACTAAAGCTACCTATTGGTTAACACACTATTAGACTGCAGGGCCTGTAACGTGTAGTATAGGGTGAACCCTATTGTTTGTGCCATGGAGGAAACAAACACTTTTGAGGTATTTTTCAAATAATTAATTTTTAAAACACTGTAGGCTTTTGATTCCAATCTATGCAATCAGAAGGATCGTCCCTCTAAGGAATGAATGGGTGGTTACCTGGAAAAACATAGAGGGAGTTCTAACTGTAAAAGCTAACTTTACATCTTGAAAGCTGAGTTTGCAGGCCTGGGAGTAGAGTTTATTTTAAGCCTAAGAAGGAAAGAACTCAGGATATGACGTAAGGGAACTCTTCATGCTACAAGCAGCAGCACAGAGACACTCTGGATGAGAGAGGTGAGAGGAAGACAAGGAAGTTGGCAGGTGGAGCGCATGGGGTGGGGAGGAGAGAGAACTAGGGTGGGAGCAGCCAGATGGCTTCGTGACTGTGTGAGATTCTGTGCAGGGTTGTGGAATATGGGGAAATCCTATTGGAGGGTTTGAGGTTGTGGCTCCTCACCCTCGGGTTGCAGTGTGTCGCTCTGGGAAAATTCACAAGCCTCTGGGGCCTTGATGCTGTGTGGCCGCGGAGAAGGGTACGTGGTGTGGAGCAGGTGACCACGGCCAAGAGCAGGGAGGAAAGCAGCTCTGAAAGAGGGCTCCTTTCTGGGTACCTTTTGCAGATTCATTGCTGTTTAGCAAATATGAATGCAAATTCAAAAGATTAATGAGTTGTGGGAAGACTGCTCTGGGGAATTCTGGAAAATACTGCCGCCTAAGCGCCAGTTCCTGCTCCATTTTCCACATGCCCACTTTTTTATGAAGCAATGCAACAGCAGGGCGGGCGTGCTGGTGCTGCCTGCAGGGAGCCCAGAGCCCCAAATCCTCCTTCTGTCTACAGGACGGAGGCAAGGGCTTTCTTCTTTCTGATGTCAGGAGACAGCTGGGTAGTCGGAGGCGGTGGAGGGGATGGGCCTCTCTCAAGGCCTGCAAATAAAATTATTCTCCATCCTTACTTGGGGAGGCCCCACAGCACAAGAGGGTGGCCCACCTGCTCTGTGTGTGTCCCTGCAGGAGCCTTCCTGTCCCTGTCGAATGTTCCTCTAGCGGCCTTCCTTTCATTCCTGTGGCCCCGTCATAGTTATAGCGTGAACCTAGTAGGAGGAGCCCCCTCCTCAACAGGGAGGAACTGCAGGCTTTCCCCGAACCAGTTCTGCGCAGCAGAAACAACTGCCGTCCACCACTTCCTGGTTTGTCACAGCTGGAGGAAACCTGACTGTCCTAAAGGCCACAGGCAAATAAGAAAAAAAAAAAAAAAGTTAAGGAAGCATCCAGCAGGATTTCTTGGGAGGGCTGGAGGAGAAGACATGCAGTGACCGCAATCCTCCCCGCGCTCTATGCATAGAACAATAACTTTGTTCCCCGTAACTCTCACCCCACACCTTTGCTCCACTCATAGCAAATCCTCTCCAAAGTGGTGTTGGTGTCTCTACTTGCTGCCAGGATTTCTCATCCCCTCTTTTCTCCCTGACCTCCCGTCACTGAGTTTGGGTCCCCATTGCTGCCCTGCAAAGGTTCCCATCACATCCTCCACCATGGTCATCTTGGCAAGGCCAGAGCCTGAGAAGCAGGGAAGCTGACAGCGTAAGTCCCAGTCTGAGCCCGAAGGCTGCAGAACTGGGAGAGCTGATGTCCAAGGGCAGAAGGTGGATGTCCTGGCTTAAGCAGGACAGAATCTGCCTTTTTGTTCTCTTCAGGAACCCAGTTGATTGGAGGATGCCCACCAGCACTGGGAAAGGCGGTTAGCTCCACTGAGTCCACTGACTGAAATGCTGGTCCTTTCCAGAGATGCCGTCACAGGCACACCCAGAAATAATGGTTTACCTGTGATGTGGGAATCCTTAGCCCAGTCAAACTGACACCTAAACTTACCCATCACACTCCCAAATGTGCACTCACAGGCAGTTGTCTCAGTGATGTGTCATCCACAAGGAGCAGTTGTGTGCTATGGAACCATAAAAACGGTACTTATGAGAAGGCTTATAATCCTGTGAAGATTGCTTTAGTAATTGTACAATTGGAAGAACCAGAACTGTGTATATAATAGGAGTTAAATACAAAGAAGTCCACCAAATATTAGCTCGGCTCATTTCTGGGTCAGAGAGCGATGCCTTTACATACATAGTACTAACTTTGACTTTATATATATAAACAGGTAGATACATAAAGGTATAAGTTTTGTGGAAACTTCCAAGTAAACTGGTTTCTGGTCCTGCTTTTGAGTCTAACAAGGTGCATGTTAATCTGTGACAGGGTAATCATGTTTCTACACTTCACACTTGCCCTGCCTTGAACTTTTCATTCTTCTGCTCGCCTGAGACAAATGTGTATCTGATTGCTTCCTCTGATATAGAAATGCAGATTCGCTGGGCCAGACAAAGGCATAGGTGACTATTACTCTACCCACCTCTCACATGTAAATTATGTATTCCATGAAAAGTTGATCAAAGACTCAAAAGAATTCAACCATTTGTCTCTTATGTACCCCCAACTTTTAAAAATTTCTTCCTTTCCCCCCAATACCCACCCTTTCCCCTTTAAAATACTGACGTCCTCAAAACCATCTTTGGAGAAAGACACAGATCTACCTCCTGGGCATGCATCCTCAACCTTGGCAAAATAAACTTTCTTAATGGATTGAGACCTGTCTCAGGTACTTTTTGGTTTACAGCATCTATTAACATAATGACATGATTTTTCTGTCTTAATTTGATTCTGTAATAAAGTATGCTAACAGTTTAGTATTATCTAACCAACTTTATACAATTGATTATTCTTGTAGTTATTTTGAATTACTTTTAAAGACTGCTAGATTCTATTTTTGAACTTTATTCATAATCGAGATTGGCATGTTTTCTTTTAAAATTTATTATAACGACATAATAATGGCTTCTCAAGTACCTTGAGGGACTTTACAATGTCTTTTCTTTTATGGTCTTGAATGTGTTAAATATCACCGGAATAGTCAGTTGTTTAAACATTAGATAGAATTCAGTTGTGAAACAATATATCTATAGTGTCTTTTTAGGAAATGGCATGCTTCAATTACATTTCCAATCTTTTATGAAAATTGTATTTTCTTCTTCCAGTGTACATTTTGATAGGATGTTGTATGTTGTGCTGCCATCGAGTTGTATGTGGCATTCTCTTACAATTCTTCAACAACTGTATTTATGACAATGTCTCTCTTTTCATCTCTTAACTTGTGTCATATTTATCCCTTCCTCTTTTCATTCGTTGTATCAGGGGACGTTTATCTATTTTGTTGGTATTTTCAAAAACAAAGTTTTGGTCAGTCCTGGTGGCTCACACCTATAATCCCAGCACTTTGGGAGGCTGAGGCGGGTGGATCACCTGAGGTCAGGAGTTGGAGGCCAGCCTGGCCAACATGGCAAAACCCCATCTCCACTAAAAATACAAAAATTAGCCAGGCATGGTGGTGGATGCCTGTAATCCCAGCTACTTGGGAGGCTGAGGCAGCAGAATCGCTTGAACCTGGGAGGCGGAGGTTGCAGTGAACCGAGATGGCACCGCTTCACTCCAGCCTGGAAGAAAGAGCAAAACTCTGTCTCAAAAACAAAAACAAACAAACACACAACAAAGTTTTGAATTTATTTTAAATTTTCAAATAGCTTTTTAATTTCAAGTTTATCAATTTCAGCTTTTTGAAATCCTTCTTACTTTTATTTTTTTCTCTTTATTGTTCATTTCTCTATTCTTTAGCTAAGTACTGAGTTCTTTTATTTTTCGTCTTTTTTTTTAAGTAACGAAAGCATATAAGATTACACATTTTCCCTTGAGCACAATTTTCTCAGGATTTGTTGTGATTTTTTTCTCCCTTTATTGCTTTCTGACAGTTTGTGGAACCCAGGCCCTGCTTTGAAATCCCCTGTGTGCATCACGTAGAGAAGTCAGGAAGGTCTGGTCTCAGGAATCAGCAGCAGCCCTGGAGCCAGATGTGCACTGTGGCCCCTGGCTTTGAAAGA